TGACTCCAAAAACGGCTTACTTTTTGGTATTCCCCCATCTGAAGATAATGTTTGTATGGTGTGCATATTAAGGCATGATGGTGGTGGTGGTGGTTGTGCCGTGAAGTCGGTTTCCACTCAGCAACCCTGTATAATGTTTCCAAGGCTGTAAATCTTTGCTGGAGCAGAGTGGCTGCTGGGTTTGGACTTCGGACCAGTACTTTATCCTCTAGAGCCACTGCACTCCCTGAGTATTAAGTTAAATGTTATTAATTCTCTTGATGGAAATTTTTTATTTTTATAATTTATAGTTGGGCCTGATAAAATCTAAGCAATTGTAGTTAAAACAAATGTAAAAGTATATTACAGAAAACTTAGAAAGCGTCCATAGGAAGGAACAAAGAGAAGAAAATAAGACTTGTAAGCTACTATACCAAACTATCCATTGTTAACATGTTGTTGGTGTTAGTATGCGCCGTGTGGTTGGTTCCGACTAACAGCGACCCTGTACAGGGTTTCTGAGGCTGTAAGTCTTTACAGGAGCAGAAAGCCTCATCTTTCTCCCGCAGAACAGCTGGTAGTTTCCAACTGCTGTCCCAGAGGTTAGCAGCCCGATTCGTAACCACTACGCTAGTTCTCAATATGTCTAGATTGTTTAAATGAGATGTATTTCCATCCTTTTCTCTGCAAAGCTATTATGATCAAACTGTATTATTAAGCTATTGTTCCTTTTTGTGTTTATCACTGAGCATGATATTAAGAACCTTCTTACAATGCCAACTGCAGTTTCCTTTGTGCTCCATAGTAAGAGTTTCTTGGTTTCAAGTAACAGAAACTAACTCTGGTCAACTTAAGCAGAAGAGGACGGAGAACGTACTGGAAGCTCATTAGGGATGCGCAGAATCCCAGCAGTTTGGGTGCCAGCATTGGACAGAAAAAAGAACCAAGGGAACATCTACCCATTATCCTACCACCTCCTTAGCCCCTGGGAGGCCATGTCACCCCTACCTCCGCATCTGTGACTTCACTTTTCATAAAAGTTAGGAACTCACATAGAGCAGACTGGGCCGTTCTTGTCAAAAAGATAGCTGAGGAAAAGGTAGACTCTTCCACAAAGCGTATCCATTTTTCTCAAAGTGCTTCCAAACATTTCTGTGCACTAGAATCTCTTGGGGACTTAAATAATAAAATGTTTGACTTTTTAACAAGTGTTGTGTGTACAGTTCAGTAGCATTAATTGCATTTATCATCACATTGTGCATCAGCACTGTCTACCTGCAAATGTTTTTATTATTCCAAACAAACTCTTGTACCCCTTAAGTTGTAACTCCCATCCTTCCCCCACTCCTCAAGGTACCCACTTAGAAAACTGGGTCTCTTTCCCTATTTTGGAGTCCTGGTGTGGCAATGTGCTGGACTGCAAAGTCGGTTTGATCTGCATGGTCAGCGGTTCAGGCTCACCAGCTGTGAATCCTACACAGAAATCCTACACAGGGTCGCTATGGGTTGGAACCCACTCGACGGCACTTAAGAACAACAACATACCTATTTTGGATATTTCATGTAAGTGGGTTCATCCAATATTTGTCCTTTTGCGATTGATTTATTTCACTCAGTATCTTAGGCTGGTTTTTCTAGAGGACCAAACCAATGAAGTTGCATCCATGTATAAATACATTGTTATATGCTGTTGAGTTGCTTTCAATTCTGAGTGACCCTGTGTACAACTAGAATGAAACCCTGCCTGGTCCTGTGCCATGCTCGCAATTGTTACTGTTGGAATCCAGTATCGATGCAACTGTGTCAGTCCGTCTTGTTGAGGGTCTTCCTTTTATTCACGGATCCTTCTCCAGGGACTGGCACTCATTAGACAAAGTCTGACTATCCTCTCTTTCTAAGGAACATTCTGTACATCTTTTGAGACAGATTTGTTGATTCTTCTGTATGTTCAACATTCATTACCAACACCATAATTCATAGGCATCAGCTCTTTAGCCTTCCTTATTCGTAGTCCAGATTTTGCTTGCATATGAAATGATTGAAAATACAGTGTTGCTTGGTCAGGCACACCTTAGTCTTGAAAGGGACATCTTTGTTTTATTTAACTCTTTAAATCTTTAAAAAATTAAAAAAAACTTTAAAACATTTTTTGCAGCAGATATGCCCAGTGCAACGCATTGTTTGATTTCTTCAGTACTGCTTCTTTAGAGAAGTTTATTTCAAGGAAATGGCTTAGGTGGTTTTAGAATCTGGCAAGTCTCAAATCTTGTCTCAGATGTCTCAAGTCTCAGATGTCAGGTTGGAGTCTTCTGACTTACATATTTGCAGAGACTAACAAACCCAAATAGGCAGGTCAGACGGCATGCTGCTGGCTCAAGGGACTGTGGGAGTTGGCGAATCCCCAATCCCTCAGACAGCAAGAGGTCAGAAGAAGGATTGGATGCAGGATCAAGAGATGGTGAGCTTTGCCAGAACATCCATGTTTGTTGCGTACAGGCCCTTCCTCAGGGGAACTCTCCTTTCAACTGATTGACTACTCACACCAGATCATAAAATGCAGGGTGATTGCATATTACCTGCTAAACAAAGGGTCATGGTTTAGCCAAGGTGACACTCAGCATAGTGTCTTCAAGGGTCATCCAAATCGTTCGATATATCAGAACTTAATTTCTTTCTATGTCTGAATATTATTTCATTGTGCAACGGTACTACATTTTGTTTATTCATTCATCTGTTGATGGACACTTGGGTGGTTTCTTCTGGCTTTTGTTAATAATGCTCCTGTGAACATTTCTTGCTTTTTACTGTTTTCAAGTTTTTTAATGTTTTATTGTGAATTATATGATAGTTTACATGAGAGAACTTTAGTTTTACATTCATTCCATCGTATATCATTTCATTGTCATGGTTCCAATCTCTTTCATGCACCATCAACCGACCAAAGGGTATATCCTAGAAACC